ACTGCGAAATAACAGTTTATTGTTAGAAAAACACAATATTTGCATATATCATTATTGCATTTTAGTTTACCAATAAACCAGCAAAAGGTAATAAGACCAAGCACATGCAGGTAACATAATTGTAATTATTTATTAGCAGTCTTAGCTGAGAGCCCAAGCAGTCAATTATCCAAATGAGCATAATTGTTGTGAACTGTGATTATTCAATGACAATTCCGCAGCGAACTCGTACAGTTGCTCTTACAGTGCTCATGAGAAGGGCGTAATTCGGAGAGCTTATCGCATAGTAATGCACGTTTATGGCGTTTATGGCCGAAATAGTAGCTATTAATTAAAAGTCTTAATATGGTATAATATTGATTTTTTGTGTTTAGATTGATGAGCTTAACGGCAGCGGGCTTCGCTTTATGGTAATTGCCCGCGATAAGCAGATAGTAAACGAACAGCGCAGCGGTCCGTGCGTGACTTATAAATATAAATAGGATCAATGGGTTCCTGGTAGTACGCCAATGACAGGCGATAAGACAGGAACCCCGCGTGGCTCCTTCCAGCAGGAGCAGGAGCAGGAGCAAGAACAGAAGCGAAAGCAAAGCCCGGAGCACCACAGCTGGCTCAGTCGCTGTCGCAAGAATAAGCCACAATGGAATGCATTGGGTGCTGGCTCGCTCATCTTTGTTTCGGGCGGCATGAGCCTAGCCTGGGGCGCTGGCTTTGCGGCACAATCCATGCATATGGAACTGCTCACACTAACGCTGCACATGCAAATCTGTTGGTATGGAGCAGCGCTCCTTGGAGCCGCACTAAGCGTCATATTGACACACCGCACACCACTGCGACCCGTTTATGTGAGTATCGATGGATTGATGATTGGTGGAGATGATTGGTGCAGCTGAGGAAACTAATCCTATTGACACAATGTTATCAATAGGTGTTCAGCTCATGCCTGGTGCTGATCTGTGGCGTACTTTTCCTTACGCTGCCTGAGCGACCAAATGCCATTATTGCAGCACGCTACTTGGATGGATTTGCCAATGGCTTGGTCTTTGTTCCCACTATGACTACTGTGGGCGAGCTTTCTGTCTGTAAGATGCGCGGCGTGCTAGCCGCTGCCGTGGAGCAGCTGAGCTACAATTTCGGTATCTTCATCCTCTTGTTTTACACGGCCATCTGGCAAAGCGGCTGGAACGTGACTATTGTGGCCGATCAGGTGCATGGCCTACTCAGCATCATATATGGTGTTGTGGCACTCGCCTTGGCCCTGACCTGCTGCATCGAGTCGCCTGTGTATCTACTGCTTCGTCGCAACGAGCAGGCTGCAGTGGATGCACTTCGTCATCTGCAACGTCCATCGGTGGTGACCAGCGAGACATTCCTGCTGTTAGATGAGCACAAACGTTACGTAGCTGCCAATCGGGACCTGAATTGGAGTCAGAGCATACAACGCGGTCTGGTGCCGTTGCTGAAGGTCGCCGCACATCGTTCACAGTATGCATTGAGCATGACTCCCATCATATGGAGCGCTCTGTTCGAAACAGCAGTGGAACTAACACCTGAGTTTCACACATGGCCCTATGTGGTATTTGGCACTTTGCGCTTGAGTGGCTGCATCTCTGTTGTCTTTCTAATGGACTCCGGTGGCCGAAAAAAACCGTCGCTGTTTGGCACCTTTGCTGGCGGTGTCTTTGCCATTGCCTTTGGCACATTATTCCAGCGTTTACCTCGCATGATCGCTGCTTTGTCCCTGTTATTTTGTTTTCAGTTTTTTGCGGGCGTGGCGTATGCAGCTTCCGCTGTGTACCTGACCGAGGCTTTTCCACTGGCAGTCAAACCGTATTTTATTGCGCTCGTATATGCCCTTGAGTTGATGATCAGGCTGGGCTTTTGCAGCTATACGCCAACGCACCCAGACATATCTCTATATTTTTATATATCGGGTGGTATATCCTTAACCTTCTTCTTGCTGGGCATCTTTTGTTTGCCGGAGACGAGGCTAACCACGCTTGCAAAAAGTCATTTTAAGATTCGAAAGTGGTTCAATGATGATTTCTGATGTAAAAGCATATAAGCACTCAATCACAACACCACATAAGAAGCGATTCAATTAAAAATCGTAATACTAAATAACCCAAAAGCTTGCTAATTATAGTTAAATATTTAATGGAACCCTCAACCGCTTGAGCTCACGTTTAGTAAATACTTGAGAAGTCGAACACCGCAATAAATGCCCAAATAAATTTGATACAAGTGTTCCTCGGATATACTAACCTGCCATAACCTGTCATGACTCAGTTACCTAGAATTGACTGCTAAATAATCACAAACAAAATAGCAAAATTATTAATCGCTTTGAATCAGGGAAAGCACATCAGCAGACATCTAATAAATTAGCCATATTTCAAGCATTAGTTTGGTCTTCATGCCTTTCCTGTCTTAATCAAAGTTTATGAACAGCCCGATAAGCTACGTTATCACCAATTCACATTTAAGAACGCGCGTGTGGTTTTGTCCATGCTTCGCTTATCGCAGCAGCGATAGGCGTTTATCTAGCCCCCCCTATCAATTTACCAAACAGTTTTACCAACGAAAAGTTACAAAAATGACTTGACCGTGAGTTTTAGCTTTCAGTTACCAACAGGTTGCAGTTAGAAACTGTTGAGGGAGTGGATCACCAAAACGAAAATGAACGATAAATATTTGCCACCTGATCCACCGTCATATGGCTTCACATCGGCACCACCGGGAGGTTCACAAAACTATCCACCACAAGGTTATCCGCAGCATGGTTATCCACCACAAGGATATCCACCACAGACATCTTATCCACAGCCAGGGTATCCTCCCCAGAATTATGTACCACCGCCACAAAACTTTGGGGCACCACCTCCGCAGCACTATGGATCACCACCTCCACAGAACTTCGGCCCACCACCCCCACAGAACTATGGACCACCACCGACACAGCCACTGCCGTCCTCCCCAATTGTGGTGCAGCCCACTGGCTGGTATAACCGAAACCAAAAGAACAAACCACAATCAAATGCAGCGGGCGCGGGTATGTTCAACCACTGAGAATTAGTCAGCTAGCCGTAAAAAGACCTGCTGTCGATAAGATAGTCCCTGTCAATCAGCTTTGTAGTTCGCTGACGTGCAGGTTTTGCCCGCGCTTGTCAGTGATCAACTGATTGCTCAAAAATGTTCCTGCATTAATTTAATTTATAATTCTATTAAATTAGCTGCACTCATCTTTCTATCGGGCGGCATGAATATAGCGTGGAGCGTTGGTTTCCACACTTATGTTCAATACCTTTCTTTACACACGCGCGTGGCTTGGTTTATTGGCGCCATCATTGGAGGAGTACTCAGTTGCTTTCTGGCAAACAAATTGCCAAAGAAAGTTGTTTTGGTAAGCATACGGAATCATTTCCACACCGCAGCTACTATTTTCTAATATACTGCATCAATTCTGTAGTGTTTCTGCTCACTTCTGGTTATGATTGGCGGAATTGTGATTGCAAGCACTCGGTACAACATCAAAGCCATAGAGGCGAGTCTCTATCTAGATGGCATTGCCAATGGATTGGCATTTGCTCCCACTATGGCACTGGCCGGCGAGGTTTCAGTATCTTATATGCGGGGCGCAATTACCACGTCCATTGAGCAAATGTGCTACACGCTAGGATTTTTTATTCAGATTATATATGTGTCATCCTGGTCCACAACCTACAACTATAACAGCTTTAATGCAGAGCAAATGCATGGTGTACTAGCTGGCATCTATGGACTGATTGGGCTAGTAATTGCTGGTATACTCTGTATTGAGTCGCCAGTGATACCGCTGGCCAATGGCGAGGAGCAGAAGGCTCTCGATTTACTACGACGTCTGCAGCGGCCGTACACGATCACCACTGAGACTTACGCGCAGCTGGAGGAGCACAAACGTTATTTGGCGCAAAACAAGGATTTGTCGACAAGCCAGAGCATTGTCCAGGCCTTGCCAGCTTTTGTAAGACTATGCTATCTGCGAGCCCTAAATGCCATGAGTTTTTCCACCTTTGTGTTTTACGCACTGATAGTCTCCTTTACGTCCAGTTATTATCTAAGTAGTCTTACTTGGCGGTTTATTGCGTTCGGCGCTGCTCGCTGGCTGGGCACATTCATCAGCAGCTTTTGCATGGAGTCAGCAGGACGCAAGGGCCCAACGCTTCTTGGGCTCGTGGTCAGCGGTGGCTTGGCGTTTGGAATTGGCAAATTAATCAGTGACGTCTATGATATTCACTATGTAGATGGAGATGCAATCCTTGCCCTGTTATGCGTGTTCCAGCTCTTTGCAGGCATTGCCTCTACGGCCACCTCTGTCTACCTCTCAGAGGCATATCCACTGGGCGTTAAGCAACACTTCATTGCATCAACCTTCATAGTCGAAATGCTGGTCTTCATTATCATTTCATCTGCGAAGTACAGCATTCAAGGTCATGCCATTTTCTTTTACTTTATGGGTGCTTTGTACCTGATTGGTTTTCTTCTGGGGATCTTTTGTCTGCCAGAGACCCGACGAACCACTTTACGTGAATCACAAGTCAAATTTAAGGGCATGATGAGCATGGGCTTTAATTAACTAAATCTAATTACTTGTATTGTCATAACAACAAAATATCATTCATGATTGGACGCTAGTCTGAAGTAAATGGCTTTTATTATTACGAACTATTCCGATCAAATCATTCAATCAATGCTTCAAAATAAGCTATTTTTGCTTTAGCTACCAGAATTATCGTATATATTGCGCACTTTATAGCACAGAAATGCCATATGCGACCTTTGCGCTTTATATCTGTATGTCATAAATTATAAATCAGCGTCTAAAAATACGACTTGAATAAAAACAAACCGGTATTTCACCACAGCTGTTCCCTCAACATATTGATCCTTTTTTAATAGGGGAAGTACAAACCGCCTAAATGTGTAAATGGCTATAAATTACTTGTTCGCCTTATCGAAGAACCTATGCGAAGAGCCTAGTTTGACACGATATTAGCAAATTTTATGGGCATGGTTATGCCAAGCGCTCTTATCATTTTATATTTGGTCTTATCAGTAAAGAGGGCGTAGGTGTACCGCCTTATCAGTTTTTCCAGCAAAGCAATGAAGCATAAATAACGCTGTGGTCAAAATTGTAAGCACTTAGTAGCAAAACGCACTCCAAATAAAATATTCTCTGAATGCAATACAAAAACAAAATGAAGAGCGATAAATATTTACCCCCAGAGGCACCAGCATATGGGTTCCCGTCTGCACCATCAGAGACACCACAGGACTGCCAACCTCCTGGCTATTCTCAGCAGGAATATCATAGGTACGGTTACTCCCAAGCCACCCAAAACGTATTCCCCCAGAGAACGCAACCCCAACAGGTATATACCCAGCACCCACATCCACCACCGCTGCAAAGCTTTGGCCCGCTACCTCCACACACCTATGGTCTGCCCAAGCCGCCACAACCACCAGCGCAGAGCATAGTTCAAGTGCGACCCAGTGGCTGTTTCAACCGCGATAAAACCAATAGGCCGCAAATGAATGTCTTAAGTGCAGGTAAGTTTCACCAAATCACTAATAACAATACCTAAAAATTATTAAAGCATTGGCTATTTTGATATCTTCACTCGGGCCTATTAGGCTCTGTGGCTGTCCTATTCAAACCTATGAAAAGTAAAAAACTTATTTTGCGCATTTCACAAAAATTCTATACTCTATAAGAGTTTATTGCACTTACATGTGAATTACCAGTTTGATATTTTTTCAGCTACGCTCATCTTCATCTCGGGCGGTATGAACATTGCGTGGAGCATTGGATTCCGCAGGACTGTTTACTTGTATCTAACAACGCATCTGCGCATAGCTTGGTTCATTGGTGCCATTATCGGAGCGGCAATAAGCGGATTTGTTCCCAAGATGGTCCCAAAGAGGGCGATCACGGTAAACATATTCGCACACTTGCACTACTGCACACTTTAACTCTATTTTCATACATCTGGCAGCTATTTTGCTCGATGCTGGTGCTTATAAGCGGTATATTGAATGCCAGCACCCATCAAAATATGGATGCTCTGACGGCTGCTCTGTATTTAAATGGCATTGCCAATGGATTGGTATTGGCTCCAACACTGGCGCTTGCCGGGGAGTTGGCAGGTAGCGCAGGTAGCTCTCACAGCTATTGGGAAACGATGTGGTCTTTTATCCCATTTGGCGCCTGTCGTCTGTTGGGTAGCTTCATAGCCTGCTTTTGGATGGACTCGATCGGACGCAAGAAGTCAACTCTTCTTGGGCTCGTCGCATGCGGGGGCCTGGCATTTGGAATAGCCAGTCAATTCCATCACCCGATCTACAATGGTGTTACAATTATGCTAGATATATTTCAGTTATTTGCTGGCGTGGCTTTTGCGGCCTCCTCTGCATACCTGGCCGAGGCGTATCCATTAATTGTTAAGCAGCACTTTATTAGTGTTACCTTCATTGTCGAGCTGCTTGTGTTTATTATCATATCCACTTGTGACATCACTAACGAGTTCTTTTACGTTATCGGCGGCATCTACACGGCCGTCTTTATAATGGCTATGTGGTGCCTGCCTGAGACACAAAGAACTACACTACGCGAGTCACAAAAGAAGTTCAGAGGCTGCTGCTAATATACGCCACAAAAAATGCAATAATATAAATACAATAAAAATAAATATATATGCGTAGTACTATTTTAAGTTTATATCGCGAACGGACTGTAATTTTGTTAAAGTATTGATTTAATGCACATCTATAAATGTGTCTTCCACTTATATCATGTAGCCATTGGAAATGTATAAATAGGAACAATAAATAAACAGAAAATTAAAAAGAAAAACAAGAAATTGTGCAGTTTTTTTCTGACCGCTTACTTCTATAAATACTGTTCGATCCAACTGACATATTTACTGCCAGCACAAAAAAGCACAGATTTTGCATACTGATGCATTTCGTGATGATCGATTTACAGGGATATCAACGCATGTGTTGATACTTATTAAGAATATAGTTACGTTATACGGTTGAAGACTTAGTCTACTTATATGCCAACACGAGCATAATAATGACGACTGATGCAGATTTAATGCCCTTACAGACATATGACAGATGCTCTGTAAATTTCAATGTGTAATTTTATATTCAATATCTCAAATTTTATCGTTTCTATAGAAGCTATAAGAAGTCTTAGTAATTGGTGAGTTTTGACAACCAATTTTGAGTCATAGTCGATACTGAAAACATTAAAGCCTAAGAGTGTCAAAGAGTGCGCGTCATAGACTCGAAGAGAGAACACCTCGCCGAATGTAAAAAAGAGAATATGTGTGTGTAAAGTCGCACAAATCGCTGATTTGAAATTTACATAAGATAACTAACACGTAAATTATTTTCTGACCAGAAATACAAAAAATATAAACATACAAAAGGTAACAAATGCGTCTATCGAACGTAGCTGCAATCCAATATAAACATTCATAGATAAGTGACTGGCTAAAAGGTTGCGCCGTGGCCACTGCCACTGATAACGATAGTAGCTGCGATCCTATGGACTCTAAGCGTTTATCAATCAATGCGATAAGAAACGTTTACTAATGGATAAGTCAAACGGAAACCTGTTCGACATAGACTCCAAAATATTTTGTTTCGTGTAGTAGTCTCTTGTACCTCGACAAAGGTGGTCGTACACACAACCGACATGGAACAAAGGCACGAATATCAGCAAACGGCGTCACAATCCACAGTGGGATACTCACCACTGCCAGAGCCAAATCAGGAGACACTCCCACAACGGCAACTACCATATCAACGACCAGCCAACTGCTGCATCCGTGATATGCGCAATCAGCCACAGGCAAATGCCTTGGGTGCTGGTAAGTACCTAACCTCTCAATAAACCTTAAACAAAAGACAATCGAATGAATGCAAATTTTTGGAAGCACTCAATGGGTCTTATGCCTAGTAAAGCTTTGATATACCTAGTAAAGAGTTATATCAAGTTGTCTAAATAGTTCTTAACGAGCTTATAAAGCAATACGAATTGGAAACTTAACCAGTTTTCTGAACAAACCTACTCTAGTGAATAGCTATCAATCAGCTCTGGATATTGCTAATTCAATAAACAATAATTATGCTCCTTCTATTATAGCTGCTTTGATTTTCCTGTCGGGCGGCATGAACATAGCCTGGAGCATTGGCTTTGACAGCCTGGCAGACGAATTCGTAATCAGTACGCATCTGCGGATCTCTTGGTTCATCGGAGCCATCATCGGGTCTCTACTTGGCATTGTTGTTGCCAGGCACCTCACCTACAAATTACTCATGGTTAGTGGATGCTTTCATATAAAGATAAATATACTGATAAACATACTATTCGTTTTTTCCAGCAACTCTGCTGCCTGCTCACAATCATTGGCGGTATTCTGTTCACTGCGACACAGCTGCAAGTTGAGGCTATGCTGGCTGCACGTTACCTTAATGGGCTAGCAAATGGGCTCGCGTTACCGTCCACGCTGGCCATAGCCGGTGAGTTGGCAGTGTGTTATAAACGGGGGACCCTGGCCTCTGTCACGGAGCAAATGTCCTGCACTTTGGGCATATTCATGCAGATCGTTTTCAGCGTCAGCTGGAGCCCGGACTCTGATCTGTCCGTGGACAGGCTGCAGGGCGTGCTATGTACCATTTATGGTGCTGCTGCATTGTGCCTGGCCAGCATATTCACTGTAGAGTCACCAGTCCGCCTGCTGACTCAGGGGGAACAGGAGCTGGCCATCGATGCTATAATCCGCCTGCAGTATCCCAGAGCTGTCACGGCAGAGACCAACGATCAGCTGACTGAGCACACTTCTTATATCACTCATAACAGGACACTGGACGCTAGCCAGGCCTGGTGTCAGGCGCTGCCTGCCCTCTTGCGCCTCTGCCTGCTTCGGGCCCTCTATGCCATGAGCACAAGCATGCTAGTCGTCTTTACGCTTACATTAACCAGCAGCAGCGTCTATGGCCTCAGCAGCGGGCCCTATGTGCTCTTTGGACTGCTACGTTTGGCCGGCAGCTGCAGCGGCGCATTTGTTCAGGATACGCTTGGTCGCAAGATAACCCAGCTGATTGGTTTCATGATCTGTGGCGGAGCGTCCATTGGCCTAGCCAGCAGGTTTACGGATGTGGAGTTTGTACGGCTTCCAGACTTGAAGACGGCTTTGTGGCTTTTGCTAATGTTCCAATTCTTTGCTGGACTTGGCTTTGCACCCAGTTCTGTCTACCTATCGGAGGCCTTCCCGCTCTCTGTAAAGCGTATGTGCATCTCATTCGCTTATATTTTGGAGTTGACTGTACATTTGTCTATCTGCAACGTGGATCCAAGCGTGCACATTGATGGCGTCTATTTCTGCGGTCTTGGAGTCTTCATGCTGCTGGGTTTCTTATTTAGCCATTGGTATCTGCCAGAGACAAAGTTCTTGACGTTACGTCAGGCACAACAAAAGTTTCGCGACTTCTCGTGACCAGCCCAGAAGTAGGCGCACCAAGACTTTATATCACTTAATGCTAGCTAAATTTAGGCAAATACCTTAGCTATATAAACAATATTTTTTGTACATACATTTATATATTAAACGACTGATAACCAATAATATCAGCAAGCTTTCAATACTCTTGCATTAAGTGTCTAATCAGCGCCCAATTAGCCGCTAGTCCACGTCTCTAATAGTTGCTATTAGAAGGCAATACAGTAGTCGCTCCAAACATCAGAAAGTCTTTGTTTAGAATACACAGATTGCTTTCAATAAAGTTAACTATTTAACATACAAGCAAACTAATGCCTAAATTTTATTACCTAAAATTCACATCCAGTTGCACTAGCAACACATACACCCATAATTAAAGTTCAGGTTATAAGAACCCAAAACTTAAAAGGAATTCAAAATGAGAGATCGTGAGTGGATACATGAAAACCAGTAAGACTTTCTTTGATTGTATGAGAATCGCTTAGAAGGTAACTATTTATAAATAAGTTATTTTTGCAACACATCGGGATTATTATGTCCTGTTTTTAAAACTACCTTCATTGATTGAAAATCTGTGGAAAATAAAACTTTTATCATCCCTAGTTCCTAACTTTCCACTTCTTGCGAGCGACCACTGTAATTAAGAAGATTAATCTGAATATATATATAAGTGAAATTCCAATTGCTGATAACAGCTGATCAACAGGAGACAACAGTTGCCCATATCAAAGTTTGGAAATAATATTTGCTGAATCATATCATAGGGTGTCAAATTTGATAACAGCTTACTGAAGGCCGAACTAAACAATTAAATTCGAAGGACTCCTTACATTAAAAAGATGCTGAATTGATCTGCATTTTAAAGACCTTTAAAATATTTGCATATTTATTCTGTTATCCTTAAAACATTTAAGAGTATTTTGTTCAGTGTAGCACATGCGAAGCTCACCTTGATATCGATAAATTCGCCTGGTAGTTATTTGGCGTTTGTGTCCACTCTACCCACTTTTGACGCCTACTATTCAAATTTAATTAATTTATTTATATCCAGTAATCATATTGATAAGAGAGCGCGCAAAAACTTTTGTGTGTTTGCGTGTTTGTATTTTATTTATCTTATCAGAGCTTCGACGTTCTCACCTCAAGCACTTCAGACAACTGTTGTGTGTGCTTTCCGTTTATCAACTGCACAGGCAACCGGTCGGTCAGGCGAACAGCAACTGCCCAGCTCTCAGAGGGCAAGTGTATAGAACAGCGCGAAATCAAGCCGCAAATAATATGACACTCAGTATGTGAAAATGACGGCTACAGTCACAACAAGTGATAAGTTCTATAACTTCTAAAGCATAAAACAATATATAAAACATTTGCCAGTGACAGTGCGAAGCAAGCAAATAAATCAATTGACTAAAATTAATTGCAATCAAATATTACCAATATTGGCGAAAGGAATTCCAGAATGCCGCTACTGCCGACCATTGAGGAAGAGGGCAAACTGTCTTGGCTGCGTCTGATGTGGCGCTATCGCTTGCAGTTTCAGTCCCTGACCGCGGGTAAAAACGCATTCAGTCCAGTGTGGGCAACGCAACATATCCTGATCCCCCACTTTCCATATCTATCTATACTTCAGCTGCGCTTGTGTTTGTGGGCAGCGGCATGCGTTTGGGTTGGTCCATATTTGACACGCCCGCGGGCAAGTTCCTGAACGACTACAATACACACAATCTGATGATGAGTTGGTTTATTGGCGCTGCTGTCGGTGCTCTGCTGGCAGCTCTGTTTGTTCAGCGCGTTACCAAAAACGTGGCCTATGTAAGTGCTCCTGCAGCCATTAGCTGCTTATCTCACTTCCATAAACTGATAAATGTTGAATCGCATTTGCCATTAGCCATCAACTCTGATAATCTTTCTGAGCGCTTGTTGCCTGCAATGAAATCGGGGATATACCACAGAAAACATAGCCCAGCTTGCGAATCCATTCTTATTACGTTCTTGACTCAGGTTCCGTTCAATGGTGTTACAAATTTGCAAAGAGTTAGTATCCCCAGCTGAGATCAGTTCCTCATCAGAAAGACCACTTATCAAAATATTGATTTCAATTTTTTTAGAAATAGACTGCGTTTTATATAAAGCCATATATAGAACATCTTGAGGACTATTTCCTTTCAAATATGTATTAATGTTAAGCAGGTTACCTGAAAGGCTTTTGAGTTTAGGACTTCCTACAAATCTTATCACTGGGCTCTTTACTTGCAGACCTCCAGCGGATTTCTGTTGCTTGTGGCTGGCATACTGAACTTGGCGTTGCCGCGTCACTTCATCTCCGCCTGCTACAGCAGCGTCAGCGTGGGCGCCGCATACGGTCTGACCCAGGTGCAGGCGTTGGTGACGGGCTCGGAGATGGCACACAAGTCCATACGCGGCATGCTGCTGAGCTGTGAGCGCATCTTTCTCTGGCTGGGCGTCTGCATACAGGTATTCTATACGCGCGTCTGGTATACCTTGGAGCCAGTGGAAAGGGGACACACCATGCACATTGATCAGTTGCATGGCATCCTGTTGGCCGCCCTGGGCGTGGCTGCGGTCATCTTGTCCCTTTCATATCGCCTGGAGTCGCCTCTATTGCTGCTGCGCCAGGATCGGGATATGGCAGTTGGCGACACGCTGAAGCAGTTAAATGGCCATTCGCAGTCTGGCACAGAGCTACTGCGTCTGCGCGAAGATTGCCGCCAGCTGCATAATACGCGCGAATGGGAACAGTTCGCAGATGGCTCCCTGGATCCTTGTTGGCAGCGCTGGTCACGTCGTCTGCTGCCGCTGCTGAAGGTTCTCCTCCTGCGCTGTTTTGCAGCACTGGCGCTCTCCTTGCCCTATAATCGCGCCTTTCTGGTGGTCAGCTGGCACGGCCTCGAGTGTGACATGAATTGTCTGTACTGGCTGGCATTCTGCGGCCTGCTTGGCAGCTTGGGCGGAGCCCTACTAGTGGATTGGCAGGGTCGGCGCAAACCCTGCTCGCTTTCGCTTTTTGTAGCGGGCATTGTCATTGTCATGGTTGGCGGCGTCTTTGAGCATCTGGAGTCGGTTAAGAAGACCTACTACGACATCAATCTGCAGGCAATTGCACTCCTCATGCTGCTTTTTGAGGTAATTGTAGCTGCGGGCGTGGCTGTGCCCGCCCTGGTCTACTCTGGGGAGGCCTTCAGCGTGGCGCACAAAGCGAAATGCTTGGCGGGCGTCCTCATCTGTGAGCAGGCTCTGCAGCTAGGTCTCATGGTGGCCGCCTTTGAGCACAGTCTGAGGGATTCGGTGTTCTTTTTTACCTTTGGGGCCATGAGCTTTGCCTTTGGACTGCTGGTCTTCATGCTAATGCCTGAGACGCGACAGCTGACGCTGTACGAATGCCTGCTTAAGTTTAAGAAAGTTCCTTAGACCTTAACTCGATTAGCAATCGGGTATTCATAAAAAAAAACTATCTCTCCGTATGTACCATTAGTCGTATACATTTATCTCTGCTAGTAATAAAATTATCGTTCTATGTGTACTGATCCGTATTATTGCCTCAAATATTGAGGCTGACGAAAAAGTCTCCAGTCAAAACATTTTCCCACCCATTAACACTCGAGCTTTTTAAAGTTTTTGTAAGCCAAGGGTTAAATGTTGCTTACCATGCTAAAAGCTTTGGAGTTGGCGCAGCTTTTGTGTAAGCTTTTTTATAGCACTGCAAAAACTGTTACCAGTATACGATTTCCACAGCTTTTACTGGAAAGCTATCCCCGAATATACCGTTATTTGCATTGTAAACATTGTAAACACATTTTTTTCGCTCAGCCGGCTTCTGTTCAGATTTTGCCCATTCAACGGTACGTACAACTTATTCGGATTGCCATTGCCCTCTAATACGCCACTTGGTGCTTTTGCGAGTCTAAGAGGCAGCAGCTTGGCACAGCACTAGAGTGAGAGGGGGAGAGGGAGAGAAGGAGAAAGAGAGCAAGACACATGGCAAAAACAGAAATCAAGTTGATGAATATGGCGTGAGATGAGTTTGAATGCCACTCGCAGCAGTACCCAAAACAGTTGGTGGGAAACGCGTTTGCTTAAAGCCAACGAAAGCTAGGAAAAGCCAAGGAAACAAGTAAAACAACTCCCCGGATAGCTCACTCGAGTGCTTTGCCATCTAATGATGCGGAAAATTTGTTCGCCCACCCAAAAATGAAGACATACACGCACACAGCCACACACTCACACTTTTACACACATATATAGATTTGAATGGCGACTTATTGATATGCAATATTTGTGTTTTTGCTGCACTCATCTTCATCTGGGGGCAGACTCTGAGCACCTTGGGGTCTCGTTTGTGCATAACGTATCGCTGGTTTCTTAAGTTGGCTTCTGGACTTAAGGATCGCCTGGTGCCTTCTGCCCTGCGGTTGTCTTGGTTGCTTTGAGCCTGGACCCAAGCAAATATGCCCACAATTAGCAATTGCGGTGTGGGCCGATACTCAAAGGCCAATAACACTCCGCCAGTGGACGCAACAACAGCAACTACAACAATTACAACAACTACAGTGAAAGCAACAACAACAGGAGCTGAGACTAAATGGACCCTAGAGACGCTGCTCGGGTAAATGAAGCGTCGGGAATTGAGTTTAAAGTTATTTAATTTTTAATTGTATTAATTAGCGTGCGCCAAAAAATATACAAACTTCTGCAAAATTTGTTTGTTTATGCAGTTGTTGTTGTTGAGTACACGTTTCCCGGCGGCCTTACCGAAAACTTACAAGTTGAAAGCTTATTACGGAACCTGGCCCACAAAAGTTGCTACACAAAAAAATATATACGATAAGGCCTGAAATTAACTAGACGGCACAAGTTGCATAATTGCTTAATGCTCATACGCACACACACACCCACATACACAAGTAGGAAATGTTGTTAAACTAAAGATAAAGTTAAGCTAAGTCAATATTATAATGATAGATAAATAATAAGGATTAACATAAGGAATATAAATATTGTCAACTATCTAATACTTCAATTTTTAATTTTGATTAAAGCAGGGTAATACCTATTATTATTGCTGCTAAGTATTACTATCGAAATTACTATAACTGTTTTTATTAAATTTAAAAATAATGAATTTAGTTATCCTCAAGACGCACACCGTCCGTCGTTTAATTATTTCGGCTTATGAAAATGTTCTCTGAAAATGTATAGGTGCAATTTTCGCTTAGCAGAACTGCTTAATTTTATTTCAACGGTTGAAGTTTCACCTAGTTTAACAAAGAGTTACACTTTGCACTGCATTTCAAAAACCAAAGCATACTCTTTGACGCAAAAAGCATGAACCAAAGCTGTATTAATTTGTAAGCCTTGTACACAAAACGAGTAAGAGTATATTGATTTTTGTGCAATGTTTAAAAGTCTAGCTGTATCCCTTTGAATGCTGAAGTATATTTTTATACGAAAGAAAATCAACAAATGATGTGTAACACAATTTTCTCCAAATGAGACGATTTGTTTCTCTAACTTCACAAATTGGAGCTGATTATTGGATGACAGTCTTAAATGCATCACCTGCTAAATAATCGAGAAAGCTCTTATCAACTTATTCAAGCTGTTAAAAAACTGCGATAAGAGTATCAGGCAGTCGTCTGCAACCGAGCTCAACTTTCTCACCTATTTTTTTCTGCACTAGCAGAGCTCAAAGTGAAAGCAATGCCAGCAGCGTCCAAACTTTACTTTGAGCTAAACATTTGAAAACAGTGGCAATAAAAAGCATAGAAAAATATAGAAAAATTTGTACTTTTGGCACTTGGCAGGCGACAGGACCTGGCAAACGCTGCAGAAAATCTTGTCTAGCTCTGGCTATAGGGGCAACCCCTTTGTATGTTTCAATTAACTGAAATGGTAAGCGACAATCGTAAACATTAACAGCTTTGAGCTGCGTGGCCCATGCTGTGCCCACATGTGGCGGGGAGGCGTGGCCGCAGCATCCGGAAAACCGACAAACAACAAGAGAGCTGCAGCAGAGCAAATCGTTTTGTGGCAGCCAAAAACAAAAACCAGAAAGCATCGATGACGAGCAAGCGTCAAGAAAATGCATTTCAATAAGCCAAGAAAATGGACTAAGCAACAAAGCGCGACAGATGCTCAATGGACGCGAGCCAGAAAAAGAGAGAAGGAGAGAAGTCGAGAGGGAGAGAAAGAGAGAGAGAGAGAGAGGTGTTGTAGAGAGTGAGTGGAAACAGGAGAGCGTGCGTGCTGCCGTGCTGTCGTAAATGAAAAAAGCAAACAAACGTAAAATTTTATTTGTGCGCAATTTTCTATAAATTTTCATCGATTGCCATTGGGATATTGGCGACATTTGCGTTTGGCATTTTACTGCTTACTGCGTCCTTCACAAGCACACCCAAGCACCCACACACAAACACACACAAGCACCCACACACACCTCTCAGAGGTTGCTTCTTTGCCGCTGGTTAACGCAGCTCTTGAGGTGTTGATTTTCCCACCATAACTTTAACTGCACTTGTTGTTTGTTGTTGTTGTTGTTGTTGTTGTTGTTCTCGCACGAAATTGAAAAACCCTTGCACACTCGTGTATGTGTGTGGGTGTGTTGTAGATTTCCAATCAGCTACCAATACCGACAAAATATGAAGTTTCTATAGCAGCAAAACGAGTGCAAATAAATTATGTTCCCTCGCCTAGCGGAAACGTAAAACCTGTAAGCAGCAGCAGCAGCAGCAGCCACAACAGCAACATGGACATTGGCACCGAATTAATGTCTCAGCAAGCCACAAAATGGCCAACGTGGCGGAATTTATGGGAGCTGGAGACAACTCTAAAGTGGCCAACGCTGCGGTGTGACAATAAAATGGCGTCAAATTGCCATAAAAATGAAGCCTCAAGAAGGAAACCCAAATCGTTGGCAAGCCACAAACAGCGAAACGCTGCCCATATAAAAGTCAAATAATAAATAAGCACATAAACAATGGAAAGCAGCCAGCCAGCAAGTAAAAAAATAAAAGGGTTACTCACTGGCGATCGGCTCATAAATTTGCCAAAAACGCACACATTTTCAGGACTGCAGTTCATAAGCAGCTTAAAGCAGTGGGCCAAGGCGACTTTAATATAGAAATAGATTGCCAAAGAACGGCTTTTGCTCAAATAAAGTCAAAGTCTGGGTACATAATTTACTATTAATACGTATACGCATCTTTGGCTGCCTGTATACTTCAATATAAAAGCGAGAAAATTGAAAAAAAAATACTAATAATAAATAAATATCTTACACAAAAAGCTTTTCAGTAATGAAATATTAAAAATAGCCTCCATTCAGCAGAATAAAAAAAATGAGACAAATAAGTCTCAAATATCAAAAAACTGTCACTTATTTCCTTTTGAGTCGAAATGCCTTTTGTATCATAAAAACTGACACATTTGTATTTTTGTTCCTGTCCAAATTCTTGTCTCTGTTGGCTATCATGGCCCAACTTAAGTGTATTGCCTTTAAGTTTACTTTGCCTAAATCCTAATTTACTCAATTTGGAATGTTCTTTCTTGTTAGTTACGACTTACTGCAAGTGCCGAAGTGTTCAAAAATTGAAGACAACGGCCAGCTGCCACAGCTGCTTAGACTGCAGTCTGGCATTCCTGGCTGCCAGATTCCGAGCCTACCTCCCATCTACTCTATTCCTTTGCAAAGCGCATTAAATTTAATTAGCTGACAAAAATTTCTTACACGAAATCGGAATCTGGAGCTGAATTTGAATCTTGAGCTGGTGTTGGTTTTTCAGGTGGGCCTGGCACTGAGGCTGTGGTCTGGCATTTGCATCAAAGCGAACAGTAAAGCAAGCACGAAAATCATTCGAGTTGACATTTTTAATGGAAGAGGAACAGTATGAGGAAGAGGAAGAGGAAGGGGAAGGGGAAGGGGAAGAGGAAGAAGTCTGCGCCATTTTACAAAAGTCTGGACGGGGCCTGTCGAGCTGAGTGCATGCATTTTCATGACTTATGCAAGTTTTGACGACAGGTGCACGTGTCTGTGTTTGCAAGCGGTATGTGTGCCTGTGTGTGTGTTCGTGTTAAATCAACTGTCACTTCCTGTCGACAAACTTTGTCCTGCTAGGCAGCAAATCGGGCTGTCGCCTAAGAGCCACTTCGAGTTATGATAGCTGCATGCGTTTCAACAATTTACTTAACTGTTAACTACTCTAAAAAATATGAAGAGAAACTGAAAATCGCTTAAGTCAACTCCGAGTAGAAGATAACGAGCTGAAAGCCCGCTTCAAATAATAATAAGCAGATAAAACAAAGTATTAAAAACAAACTCCGCCCACGGGCAAAATAAAAACTTATTTGCTCTGTATTTTAAAAACAAACCAAATCCTGGCAAATCCTTTCGTCTTTATACTTTTTTCCAATGTATATTGATTGCATTTTAAACTGTCGCCTGATTATTTATTTTATTTTTTTTTTTGCGCGTCCAACTGTTGTTAATTAAATATTTTGATTAACACAAAATTGAGCTGATGGCTCTGCCGTGGACTATCATTTATGGCATGAAATTAACGCCATTAAAAATCACTGCATACTAATTAACTGCAGCTACAGCATTTTTCTCATTGTTCTCGTTTTTCACTCTGCTCCCATTAAAATTGATTAAACAAAAGTATGTCCATGCGCTCATACATACCGACAGACGAACGGACAGACAGGCGGACAGAAAGACGGAGAGATAAGCGGATATGGCAAGATTGACTCAACTACATTGACCAAGAATATATATACCTTATGGAGTCGAAGATCCTTGCTTCTACATTTGTACAAAACCAATATACTCTTTTTACCAAGTTTTCCATGGGCTCAGAGCCTAATGAACACGCACAAAGAAATGTAAGCGGCAAGGGCCAGTATTCCGGAACCAAATAGAAAATATCTAACCGATCAGATTGTCGTTGAGTAAAAACATGGCTATTTGGGAAACAATTTGATCTTAGTATAATAAAAATATTAAATAAAACAGAATAGATGAAGTATGTTTCGAAGAGGGGCTACGAATGTATGTTATGGTATGTACAGGGTATATGCCGGCCGGGATCGGCTGAATAACTTGTTACTTGTTGTTTTCTCTGCTGACTTTTTGTTGGCTGTCGGTCAATGCAACAGCAGACGGTGAGAACCAAAAGGCCGATTGGAAAGAAATTTGCTTTGTGGCAATGTTTTGTCTTTGACACGCGAAGAAATGAAGAAACGGGAAAATTTCACATCCGCAGCTACTATTTCCGCAGCAAGCGAAAGGGGGGAGGGGGGGTTTGGGGCGCCGGCGGCCAAGAACAACACTGATAATGTCTGCGGGGGTATTGACAACTGCAACAGCTTCGTGTATTCTCACCGTTATTTGAATTAACTGACAGCGGAAACAGGTCGCGACGAGTTCAGTGTTGTTCCGTGTGTTCCTTGTATTCTGTGTGCTCTGCGATTTCCCAGGTCCCGCCGCGCGACACTGCACGCTTGTTTACAAAATAGGCGAAAGCTGTGCCAATAAGCCTCAACGTCGCCTGCACTTAATTTATTTGCAACAAAATGTGGAGAAACCGAAACTTTTACGCAAGTGCAACTTTGCTTTACGTGTTTTTCCCATCCTCATCCGCATCTCTTGGCTTGTTTTCAACACATTCAACCTGAGGACAGGCAACTCGCTTTTGGGCGACCGCAAAAACGCAAGAGACGGCAGCAAGTCTATCGAGTTGCACGGATGTGGAAAATTCAAGATGGGGCCGCGCATCGAACATGCCTGAAACTGGGCAACTGAAATCGATGCCCGACCGAATGATTTTTTATGTTTCAGCTGTGAAATTAAAGCATTTACATATCTGCGGCTGCATCTCAGCGCAGAGCGACACAGAATAAACAGATCCACAGCCCACAGGACTGAGTCGGCTTCAAGCAAACAGAATTGTACAAACAAAGACGTCCCGCCCCTCCTTCCCCATTACACATGAGTTTGTAGCTAGATACAAAAGTGAGGACTGTGGGTCTTAATGTATGAAGGTTTCTGATTTGTTTCACGGCCTCCAGGCCAAACGCTGTATGTTTTCGATGTTATTTTTAAAAAAAAAATCATTATTTTATAGACCATTTTGTATTGTGTTGTAGCCCGTGAGCTTACCTCGATTACTTTTTCGTCTTGGTGTCATTTGCCAGCTGGCAATTCAGACACGTCTCGCCTTGATATGTAATCAAATAAAATATGTCACAAGCACACAGAGCGCCCATTTATAAATATTATTTTCTGTGCAGGCGTAACAAGTGTAAGGAGCACATTTTCTGCTCTAATTTTGCATATAAATTACAAGCAACAAATAATCAAATGCAAATATGTTCTTAAGATTCAATTTTTGTGCAATCAACACACTTAAACGCATCATCACCAAATGCCATCAAGAGCAAACGGCAAGCTGGCGGCTGCAGAGAGACAGAGGGAGAGAGTGGGAGAGTGAGAGAGAGAGAGAGAGAGGGAGGGAGAGTGGGTGGTTGTGGGCGACTTGCGTTGAGTGTAGCTGCTGACAGAACATAAAGTATGTGTGTGTGTCTGCCTGTCTGCCAGCTGTGTGTGTGTGTGTGTGTGGGTGTCTGTGTTTGTGTTTGTGTGCGCCTTCCTGGATGCTCTTCAACTTTACGCGTTGTTTGGCAGCAACTCAACGTGCCATCAAGGAGACACTGTCCTTCACACTTGTCGCCAGCGCCCCACTTTCCCGCATGCAATCAAATTTAAAATCCTGCCTGCACTGAGCAGGCTAGCCATGCAGCTAATAGTGGCCATGACTTTTGCTTAAAGCTAATATCTGCTTAAGTGTCAAAGATGTTGCTTGAATACGTTGCGATTAATCCTGCGAGCAGCACAGAGCCCGATTGGAGCGAGGGCAGCAAACAGAGCTTCAGAGATTCAATGCAAGCATATTTGCAACCATCCAAGCAAAGATGCTTATTCCTTTAAATTGCACTTTCAGCTCGTGTCATTTAGTTGACTGCTTAGCAAAATTAGCACTCGGAATGGTCCCGAGTGAATTGAATAGCTGATTTATGAACGCACTTAATGTGTAAATATGTAACCAGGACGCCCAGTGGAGCCTGTCCATTCGTCTAGCCAAGCAGCTTGTTTGTTTATGCAGCGCACATAGGACAACGCAGATAAGAAGAGGTGGCCAAGTGTGTCGAGGCTGGGTTGGGGGAGGAAAGCGGAAAGGAAAAGCGGCTGCTTTCCCAACTGGATTGACCAACATTTGCTTAAGCAGGCGTGTGAAAATTGACCATTAGCAATGCAATATATTCTCAATCTCAGTATGATATAACTTGTTGGCTGCGCATGTGTGCGTGTGTGCGTGTGTGCGTGTGTGTAAGTCTGATAATTGGTGTAAATGCCGCAAAGCGTTGGCCATGCCAAAGCGACAGAAATAGGCTCAAGCATGCTCTCTCGCTCGCACACACACGCACACACACATGCACACATCCTTGCTTTTAATATGCAGCTGCATAACTTATGGTAGAGGGAGCCATTAATTTGAGTCTGTAGACATTCAGGTGTGCAGCTGGGTGCGTCTGTGTTTCTTTGTGTCAATGTGCGTGTGCGTGTGTGTGTGTGTGTGTGTGGCTGGTTTGCAAGAAACGTTGCATAGCCACAGGCGCACGTGCGTGACCAATGAATGCGGCCAGCTCCTCTGCCTCTCACACCTGGCAAGCTGCAGAGCCTACACGCTGACACACACTCACTCGCACACATAGGCAAGCGGTACATATTTTATTTTAATTTGCTTGACAATAACCCAAACGAAAGCAAAAGTTGTGCTTATTTTTATTTTTACTTTTTCAGCTCGCAGTCGCCTTGTCGCATGTTCATCGTCATTACGACTGCTTCATTTGCCTTATTGAATCTGGCACACGTTTCACAATAGTTGAGGCGCTGAGGAAATCACAATGCCAGCGCAAAACAATATGCAAACAATTTTTACCATTACATGACTGAAATACACAAAATGCCAAAAGGAGACGCTGCCAAACAGACGTATTTATGGTCACGTGCGTGCTATGCGTGTGTGTGTGTGTGTGTGTGTGTGTAATATATAGTCATATATATATTTGTATATAAGTAGTTCACAGCTGACCAGACACGAAATCGTTTGGGCGTACAAAAATTGCTCGCAAAATGACAAGGCCCAAAAACTTCCCAGGCCGCCGACCCGACATTCATTTATCTATTTTATATTGATATCATATATACATATATATATATATCTTTTTCTCTGCCACGCCCCAATTCATTCATATTTTTTCTATCCAAAAAAAATGATTATTTAACCCAACTGTTATGGCGCCAAATTTGAATTGTGGTTAAGAGCATATCTGACAAGGCTTGCAGCCATGGCACACAGTCCGTAGCTGCTTTGCATGTTAATTAGCTGAAAGTTTGCAGAACTAGCCAATTTTTTATTGGCCATATCTTAGCTTAGTCCACGTTTTACTCTTTTCTTCTTTGAAGCACAAAAACTTGTCTGTCATGCTGCAAATATTCGAAAGGCACTGAAGGCCTGGGCCACAATTCGCGGACAACTTCAACGCCTACGTGTAAACGTTAACACAGACCCACCCTACCCCTCCAACACACACACACACCACATTCCACGCGGGATCACCGCAGAGTAATACTTCACCTTGCTTTTCTTATGCAGTCTTACTTTCGGTTCTGGCTGGCTGAGATCTATCCTGTTATCCTGTCCTCCCAACATATATTTCACCAGACTCTCAGCGGGAAACACAAATCCAACAACATCTCTTTACTCTCTGAAGCCATTTCCCCTCTCCGTCACCGAGTTCTGTGCTCAAGATTGGCAATTACATTGTTTGTCCATCTGCCATTGTTCCATCTCTCCGCCTGACATTGATTCTGCTCTCTTCGATCTTCGGATGATGTGCCATATGCTGTAGCTATTCGGCCTACTGTAATTGCTCGGAAACAGAATCGATCTGGCCATTGCCAGGTTATTGGCAGTCGGAGTCTCTGCACCTACTAGAGGCACCTCTCTGAGCAATTACATTGCCGTGTCATTTTAGTCGCCTTCTACGACAAGCAATGACGAGCTGTGGTAGTATTCTATATGCCGCTTACCACACGGCTGACGGTTGGTCTCCATTGATTGATGGTCTCTGGGGTAGGGGCAAGGACAAGGCGACGGCTAATCTCGAGTTGACAAGGGAATTATATTATTCTAACGCTGGTTTAAAGTACCAGCGCTTAAAGGGAACATCCTATGGACAAGGTACTTCTTATGCCTATTCGCTGAGTATAACAGTCAAAGAGGAGCATACGCATTTCCTGTGGAGCACATCCGCTGGGTGGTAAGAAACTCTGCTATGAGTTCTTTCGTTATTCTTCTTACAGTGTGGAGTAGATTCAACGAACTGTACGCGTTTTAGATAAGTACGGAGTCATTTCGCTTACTTTTAGAACACTGTTATAATTTACGTTCGGTATGTAGTGCGAGAAACATTGCGAGTGACATTGCTAAGGCAGGCCAAGTCACAACTTTCGTTAATTTAAAAGCTGCTAAGACTCACACCACTTGACAGGCTGCCAGGTTATTCAAATTAAATGTCCCTAAGATCAGAACCTTTTAAAACTGTTAACTACAAGATGTGGAGCAACTTTGAGTGCAGCTGTCTGTTAAAGTTAACAGCTCTGTTAAAAATACCATTTGAATAATTAACAAATTTATACTTAATTATTTATTTAATACAATTTAAAGAAAAGTACCTTCATCATTGTCCATTCATTCATTCCAGAGTCAAATAACCTTTTTAGTAGCAATTTGTTAGCCAAGGACATTACTTGATTGGCCAAAGAAGCTAAAGCTGTTGCTCCTGTAACGACCTCGCCCGTAACTTGATCCTCTCAAGAACTTTGACTTCTGTTTGCCCTCCCTAGAAACACCTCTGACTCGCCTGCAGCTTTGTTAGCTCCTCCATTATTTCCGTCAACATTCGCTGAGCAATCTTCGTCTTGCTTATGAGTTTCTCCACGCCCGATTTGCCCATATCCTCCACATCCACCAGCGCTGGGCGTGGCTGTAAGCCACTGCAGCCCCTACAAGCGTCGGGCGGCCCCCTCGACTGCGCCGGCCCACGCGGCGTGTTATCGGCATGCGACATTTTAGCACTGGCTTTTACACGTTTACACACGTCACTGATAAGAATTGAACTTACGCTGTCGCTGCGTCTGCCTCTGCTTCTGCTCGTGCTGCTGCTCCACTTGATACCCAGCACATACTGATGGCGTGGGCGTCGCAGCGCCGTGGCTTAAATAGCCAACGCATAAACGTTTGCACAGTGTCGTTCCCAGTCCCTCCCACCCCTTGCCGCATTTAATCTTGTGTTTACTGGGCAAACATTTCCAGCGCAGAGCAGCCGCGGGCGTTGACTAAGTGCGTTTAGGAAATAAACGTTTTAGCTTAAGACTTCAAAAAGTACAAAAGTGCTCAAAATGTTCTGAGCAAGACTTTGGCATAATTATGATTTTTTTTTTTTTGTATGATTTTTATTGGTTTCGTTTTCGTTTGTTTTGCTTTGCCTTGTTTTTACGTTAATAGTTTTTAATTTGTAGTTTTTGTGCTAATTATATTGTTAAACATAAAAATGTTGTTTGTTTACTTTACCCATACATAGATATAAGTATATTGTTTGGTTGTTTTGCCATTTTGATTGTATTTTTTGGTTTTGAGTAAAATGCCACCTTTTGATTTGTAGACTTTCTTTCTATGTGATTTTCATTTTGCAACTTTGTGTTAAATTCGTAAAATTCGATGTTAAATTTAATAAACCATTCATTACACATTATATAAATAAATGCATATAAAAAAAACGGATTTAAAATGCCGCAATGCCGCCGTTTGCTCGAACATGCGTAAATAATATTTGTTTAAAAAGTGCTGCATATAAATTTCATTAAATTACTAGTTTTCTGTTTCTATATATCTTTCGTTTTTCTCATGAAACTGACGCTGCAGCAAATGAAACTCGAATATGTTATGCAGACTTTTTCGGCTGCCCAAGGTTCTTATAAATGCGCTCGGCTCTTGACTTTTCCGACTAGCCAGACGCTTGCCTTTGCAGTTATTGTGTACTTATTAATATTTATTTGTTTAATTCTTATATTGTTTCTGTTGTATTATCTGTCTGTCTGTCGCTAATAAATCCATTTGAGGGCCTTATTTATTGTATATTTTTTGTTAATACGTTTTTTGTTTTTGTTGACTTTGCTCTTGAACAAAATTTTGGCACATGGTTTCCTAAACGGTTTTTGAGAGTCCCTTTCCTGCTTCAATCTATCTGATCTGTTAAATTGCTAAATTTCTTATAAGTTTTGTTGGCTAGTTTAAAATACAGCTAATTAATATGTGGATTATTCATATAAACTAATGGTAATTTGTAGTTTGTTTCTCTGCTCCTAACTTGGCTTATTATGTTCGAGTGTGTTTGTATGTGTGTTTGTTTCAAGTGTCAAACTTTGATTACGACTTTCTATTTGATTTCTATACTTTGGTGTTAAAAACATTTATCTACACGTTGACGAACGACAATTTATTGTAATGGAAACACTAATTGTGTAGATACTGCGATATCGTGTCATATCATATATGAATACTGATTCAGCTGGCGTTTCGTACTCGTGTATACATCGAATATATCAAATACATTTAGTTAACATTCTTCATTGTATATCTCTTCTATATAAGTATGAAGTATTTTCTTTTCGTTCTGTTTTTGGTTTCAGTCAATTTTCACGTGTGGCTATTTACAAAATTTCATTTCAATAGTAGCGCTAACAACTAGAGATTAATCTGTGTCTGTATGTGTTTGTATGCATGTGTGTCTGTGTTTGGGTGTGTGTCTGTGTGTGTGTGTACGTATATGTACATAAGACAATAATAAATACGATTAGTATTTAGACATAAATATAGATTTGTACACAGCATATGTCTTGAGTTGATTATTTGTTTAAATTTCATATTTAAATTCCTCGTTTTACAAATATGGAGAATGCAGTTTTTGAAACGGAATCAATTCGACAAGAACTTACAAAAATATTTTTGAATACTTAACATTAGCTATAACTCAAGGTATCAGTACTATACATAGAAAAAGTTTTGACCAAACCGCAAAATACTTACAACCTCTCTACATACAAAAACAGTTCGATATAAGTAGTAAGTAGTTCGAGTAATACGCGTTACAATACGATGCGCAGTTAGTATTCAATAGTTAGTAGTTCGAGTTACATAAGTCAGTTAAGTACTTAATACTAGATTAGTAGCTTTAACGTATAAGTATAAGCATACAAATATATGAATGTATATACAACATATTGGAAGTTCGATAACTGACCTGGGTTCTGGGTGCGCATGCCTTACAACATGCACAAATCGTAATAACCTAATTGTTATTATTATATTTATATATATATGTGTGTGTATATAAGTATATACGGTTATATGAGCTTTATATAGATACTGGGGGGAATGGAGAGTAACGAATGGGAAGTGTTTTGAGTTACCTTATTTTTGTTTTGGATGGTTGTGCAAATAATTTAGATATTGATTGTCCGAAAGTTTTTCATTTAGTGTCTTTTGATTTGTTGGGGGTAGGTTGTCAAGCTGGTTGCGGGTCAAGGCGAGGGCGGTGCGGACTTAAGGTGGAGCGGATATAACAGGAGTAATTCTGTGTTCGGGGCATTACAAAAATGTAGGTACTAAAACGGCTCAGCTGTTGTTATACCAAAAATTCACTCGGGAGTCTCGAACTCGCGAGTGTTGCCCAATCTCATTTTATTTGAATGCCATCTGCTGGACCATTGGCCAAATCTCATCCTAGCTGCTGATCATGCTTTGATCAGATCTTACCAATGTCTCACACAGATATCGAATAATCCGATTTTTCGCTTAGCAATTTTTGGCCTGGAGCGGGTGAATGCTGCTGTGGGCGTTGTTGTTGCAGGGGCTGCTGTTGTTGCGGCTGCGGCGACTTTGAATGTGCTCGTTTGTGTGGTGGTTGCTGCTGTTGCTGACGCTGTTGCTGTTGCTGTTGTTGCTGCTGCTGTTGCTGCTGCTGTTGATGCTCCTGCTGCAACTGAGATGTGGTGGAAGCTGGACGCGACCACAGCGAGGAGCGCTGGCCCAGTTTTAGCTTCTTGATTGTATCCACATCACATTCAACCTCGGCCAGCTCGATGTGCTCGCCAGCATCGCGTTCGCCATGATGGAAGGCACCAGCGCTGCACTCAGCCTGCAGCTGCAGCGGATGCAGCGTGCGCAGGATGCCAGCTCTGCATGGTTTGTAAGGGGAAGAAGAGTATCCAGAGTTGTTTGATACTATTTTGTTTGGCTAGCAACCACGCTCAAGCATTCAGAGTTAGATAGAGAGAGACTTAGTTGTGTTCAAGTTGTTGTGTTGGTGGTTGGTTGTTGGTTGTTGGTGGTGTGATGTGCTGGCTGCTGATTAATGGGCGCCCTCAGGTCCGCACACCTCACCGTATGCCAAGTCTCATGTGTGATCTATGGGATCCATATAGGTGCACGATATTTCGCCGCCATTATAGCCAAAGCTGCTGCTATCGGCCCCGCCACCGCCAGTGTACTCACTCCCCCCATTGGCCGTATCCTATTTGGGCAACGGCAACGTTGGTGCCGTAAAGAACTTTGAGGACAGCAGAGCCGTCGAGGGATTCAGCAAGGCGGTGCCAGAGACACCGCCCTGATGCAGTTGCTGATGATGGTTTTGGTGTGACTCATGCGCGGGCATTATGGACTTGTGTGGTATGGGTCGAAACTGTGAGGAGGGTGGCATGCAAGTTACGGGCACAACAGATGCTAGGGTACTAACGCCTCCATCCAAGCCCAACAGCTCCTGGCCATTAGCATGCGTTGGCGTTGGTTCAAGCTGATGGAGCTTGGGCTGGATCAACAGTGGTTGCTGTTGCTTCAAACTACTACTACTACTGCACTGGGTCTGGCTGTGATTGGGGTTTTGGTTTTGGTTCTGGTTCTGATTTTGATTCTGACTGGGTTTACTATTCGACTGTTGTTTGTGGAACTGTTTCTGATGCTGTGTGCTTATCGATGGCGATTTTACCAACGTGGGTATGTGGCATTGTATGGAGTCTTGTGATTTGAATGTGCTCGATATTGATTTCAAATTGCCGCCGCCGTTGCGCGGCGATAGAATTTTGTTCGAATTGTTTGCCGATGTGGCTGTATTTGTGTTTGTGGCATTGTTTGTAATGTTATTGTTGATTTTGTTGCTATTGTGATGACGCGGTGTTGTATTGGTGGAAAACTGATATTGCTGATGATGATACCTGGAGCGACCGCGTCGTGGTAATGATTTTTGTTCGGACATTGGTGACAGATCGGAGGATGTGCTTGATTGTGCTCCATGGTAGATGATGCCTGCATCGCATAGAGCATTTAGAGTTTGGAAAGAAAGAAAGAAAGAAAATACGGGCAAATAGAGATTTGGTATGTGGATGGGGTACACACAAACTTAATAATAATTTAAAGCTAACTAACGCACTTAACAATACTAAACTTTAGTTTCTTAGTCTTCAGTTAACTGGTCTTCTTACTGCTCAAATTTATATGTATATAAAAGTTAAGTGCATTGTGTGGCAAAAGTTGTGCATTTCTCGTTCATCTACTACAGATATGTTATCGATATGTTGTGATTTGGAAAATGTTGTATTAGTCTAGAGTCTGGGTCTGCAAAATAAAATAACGCAAAAAGAGAGAGAGAGCCAGTAGATTACTCCATTTAATAGCCCAAGACCACTAAGAGCTAAAAACCATTGCAGCAAAATATATTAATAAGCACCTGGAAGCGTCACGTTAAGAAGGATAATTTGTTTGCAACTTTCAAAAGAACTCATGTCCATTTGAAAAAGCTAATATGAAAAAAAGCAAATGCAACACTTCGTGGCTACAGCCTTAAGAATGAGCGACGTATTTGCATCACCTAGGCATCCGATACTGATCATGAAAATATGTATTTAAATTCAGATAGCCTCTACCAGAGTATAACAATAGGCAGAGGATAGCTACGAGTAGATCGCCTCGGCTATGCATGTTGATCGAGAATAAACTTATGTTACAGGGCCCTTTAGGCTACTGCTTCATAGCCCTGCTTACTGAATTTAAATAGGTAACGGATGCAAAAATATAAAATAATTGACCTTCTTAAGCGTTATCTTCCAGATGCTGAAACAG